GAAAATACAACGGATACACAGGGTATGAGTAAGTTTTATTGATTTTACGAGAAAAATGTTCATATTTCGAAATATGTATCGTTGTAAATCGACCGTACTTCGTTCCCTGTACTATTCCTTATAACGTGCAGTTCCTCTCGTAACTTAACACCGAGTCACACAACGCGTGACGCGTTCATGAATTAATCGTTGGCTTTTTCTCGAGACGTGAGCTTGGGCCGCTTGTGACAAGACAATTGCGTAAACAATATTTAACATGATAACATTATACACAAAAAAACACAGGGTTTTGGATCACGTATTTATTAAAAAAGAATATCCATACAACCACAATGAAAACGAACATAAGATTCACCTTTCTGATCGTGAAATTAATACCATTCATACTGTTATCGTAGCTACGTTCCTTGCCATCAAGTGAATCCAACATGTCGTCTTTCTTCACAAGCAGTTTGCATCCCATATAGTTATGTTCTTCAGTCTCACGGTAGTAGCGTTGTTCAATAGATTGCATAGAGTAAATGCAGTTTGGTTTCAGATTTCAGATTTTGCTTTTTACAACAAGTGAACGTTTTTCAACTAAGACATTGGCATACTTAGCATACAAGGCATTCAAGGCTTTAATAGCTTTCAAGCGTTCGCGACTCAATCCGTTCCAAAATTACCGCTCAATAACATCTTTCAGTGTGGATTAGCCGCGATTAATACGACTTGTATATGCGTCTGTAAGTATTTTGCGCGTTTGCGCTATAATGCTCCAGGAAATCGCAATCCAAATACGTTGAAATACAAAACAACTGACCAAAGAGTTTTATAAGCAAAGTCTCGTGTTCGTCATGTGACCCGGCCCTGTCTGTGCATGACAACGTCAATCATCATCAAGATAACACGCGTGATCAGCATGTGAACACCTCATTGGATCACAGTTAGTTGTCATGGTGTTGAGGGATAACACGCGTGATCAGTATGTGAACACCTCATTGGATCACAGTTAGTTGTCATGGTGTTGAGGGCCCAATGACCTCTGGGTACTATTGCGCAATTTTTCCATTTTGTGGCGGAGGAAAAAAAAAAAAAAAAAAAAAAAAAAAAAAAACGACAAAAAAAAAAAGGCATTTTATGAAAAAAAAACAAAGGCATATGACTGGGCTACCACAGGTATCCCAGTAAAAAGACGAAAAAAACAAAGGCATTTTATGACCCTGTAACTAGACTCTGTGAGCAGGGTAACTGGGATACCTGGATGGTACTGGATCCTTGGAATCAAGTGTAGTGATACTACGGGTGTCGGATTAGTATACTGAAATATTTTTTGTAGGGTGGGTGGATTACTTGTGGTCTACATTCTTACAAAAGGAAAGAAGAGTATTAACGTGGAAAAGAACGAAAATGTCGAATTATCTCACACACAGGTATTTTGTGGTAGATTATGTGTGTTGTGCGAATAAATGTAACCAAAAATAAACTGTATTGGTGCCACAGATACCTATTAGTACAAAATGCAGACAGCAGATCGGATACAAAATATAGACTGCAGAGTGGGTACAAAATGCAGACAGAATCTGAAGAGTTTTTACGTCTGGTAAATAATAACATGTTATCTCACAGCTTACCGAGCGTCACGCAATCGCTTTTCCTCGATCAGTCTTCACGATTATTTGCACTATTGTGGAAAATTCGTGGCCCATTTCTTAATGAAAATCGATCGTAATATAATTTCAAGCCTTCAATATAGTCTTCTTACTTTGTGCGCGAGTTGGTTTGTGTGATGTCTGTACAGATTTTACCAACGTAATAAAAGTAGATGATGTGAATAACAGTGATGGTAAAGCAAGCTTAAAACGGCAGAAATAACCAGAAACTACAACGGATACACAGTTCGCGACTCAATCCGGTCCAAAATTACCGCTCAATAACATCTTTTAGTGTGGATTGGCCGCGAACAATACGACTTGTGTATGCGTCTGTAAGTATTTCGAGCGTTTGCGCTATAATGCTTCAGGTGATCATAATCCAAACACGTTGAAATATAAAACGACCGACAAAAGAGTTTTCTAAGCAAAAATCTCGTGCTCGTCATGTGACCCGGACCTGTCCGTGCATGACAACGTCAATCATCATCAAGATAACACGTGATCAGCATGTGAACACCTTCACCCTCATTGGATCACAGTTAGTTGTCATGGTGTTGAGGGCCCAATGACCTCTGGGTACTATTGCGCAATTTTTCCATTTTGTGGCGGAGGAAAAAAAAAAAAAAAAGACGACAAAAAAACAAAGGCATTTTATGACTGGGCTACCACAGGTATCCCAGTAAAAAAGACGACAAAAAAACAGAGGCATTTTATGACTGGGCTACCACAGGTATCCCAGTAACTAGACCCTGTGAGCAGGGTAACTGGGATACCTGGATGGTACTGGATCCTTGGAATCAAGTGTAGTGATACTACGCGTGTCGGACTAGTATACTGAAATAGTGAGCTCAAGTCTGGCCAAGGGCATACACCTGTCTCAAAATATAGGCATGCTATGCATGCAAGAGTTATTACTGGGATACCTGTGGTAGCCCAGTCATAAAATGCCTTTGTTTTTTTGTCTTTCTTTTTTTTTTTTCCTCCGCCACAAAATGGAAAAATTCGACATTTTCGTTCTTTGTCACATTGATATTCTTCTCTCCTTTTGTAAGAATGTAGACATCACTCACAATGTTTCAAGTAATCCACCCACCCTACAAAAAAGGAACTCTTGCACGCATAGCATGCCTATGTTTTGAAATAGGTGTATGCCCTTGGCCAGACTTGAGCGCACTATTTCAGAATACTCGTCCGACACCAGTATCACTACACTTGATTCCAAGGATCAAGTACCATCCAGGTATCCCAGTTACCCTGCTCACAGGGTCTAGTTTTTTGTAGGGTGGGTGGATTACTTGAAACATTATAAGTGGTCTACATTCTTACAAAAGGAAAGAAGATTATTAACGCGGGAAAGAATGAAAATGTCGAATTACCTCACACACAGGTATTTTGTGGTAGATTATGTGTGTTGTGCGAATAAATGTAACCAAAAATAAACTGTATTTGTGCCACGGATACCTGTAAGTACAAAATGTAGACAGCAGACTGCAGACCAGATACAAAATATAGACTGCAGAGTGGGTACAAAATGCAGACTGAGAATCTGAAGAGTTTTTACGTCTGGTATATAATAACATGTCATCTTACAGCTTACCGAGCGTCACGCAATCGCTTTTCCGCGATCAGCCTTCACGATTATTTGCACTATTGTGGAAAATTCCTGGCCCATTTCTTGACGAAAATCGATCGTAATATAATTTCAAGCCTTCAACATAGTTGGTTGGTGTGATGTCTGTACAGATTTTACCAATGTAATAAAAGTAGATGACGTGAATAATAGTGATGGTAAAGCAAGCTTAAAACGGCAACAATCGCCAGAAACTACAACGGATACACAGGGTATGAGTAAGTTTTATTGATTTTTCGAGAAAAATCTTCAAAATTTCGAAATATTTATCGTTGTAAATCGACCATATTTCGTTCCCTATACTATTCCTTATAACGTGTTCAAATTTTCAACGGTTCCTAGCATAACTTACTCTGAGTCACACAACGCGTAACGCGTTCGTGAATTAATCGTTGGCTCTTTCTCGAGACGTGACCTTGGGTTGCCTGTGACAAGACAATTGCGTAAACAATACTTAACATAATAACATTATATACAAAAAACACGGGATTTTGGATCAAGTATTTATTAAAAAAGAATATCCATACAACTACAATGGAAAAAAAACATAAGATTCATCTTTCTGATCGTGAAATTAATACCATTCGCACTGTTATCGTAGCTACGTTCCCTGGCATCAAGTGAATCCAACATGGCGTCTTTCTTTACAAGCAGTTTGCATTAATTTGAATTTTGTTCTTCAGTCTCACGGTAGTAGTGTTGTTCAATAGATTGCATAGAGTATATGCAGTTTGGTTTCAGATTTCAGATTTTGCTTTTTACAACGAGTTAACGTTTTCAACTAAGACATTGGCATGCTTAGCATACAAGACATACAAGGCATTCAATGCTTTCATGGCTTTCAAGCGTTCACGATTCAGTCCGTTCCGAAATTACCGCTCAATAACATCTTTTTGTGTGGATTGGCCGCGAACAATACGACTTGTGTATGCGTCTATAAGTATTTTGAGCGTTTGCGCCATAATACTCCAGATGATCGTAATCCAAACACATTGAAATACAAAACGAGTGACAAAAGAGTTTTATGGGCAAAAATCTCGTGTTCGTCATGTGACCCGGCCCTGTCCGTGCATGACAACGTCAATCATCATCAAGATAGCGTGCGTGATCAGCATGTGAACACCTCATGCATTCCTCTACAAGGGCAGGTTTTGACTAAGATCGCTTTTGCGTTGATAGCCAGCATGTCTGCAAAATTCTTGATTATTGGCGGCTCTTTTTTCTTCATCCTGCTGAACCTTGTCTCAGCTTATGTCTTGTTCTTTCTTCGACCTCAGCTTCCCGTTTCCTGCGATTCTTTCATCCTTGGCGCAACAACTTTGTCGTTCGCGAGCGTTCCGGAAGTGGTTTGCTCTCTCTCTCCGCCAACGTTTGAAAATGGAGATGATTATCGTCCTTCGCTGAAACAGTTTCTGCAAGCATCGAAAGCTGATGCGGACCAAGATCCTCGCTTGAGTGGCTTAGCAGTGGTTTCCAAACTGGCCAATGCAAGTCAACCTTTAGTTGATGTAAGCAAGTCAAGAATACACGTCGACAAAATCGCTCTCGTCACGCTTAAGGATGATACAGCGGACTTTTCATGTGGAGATCTAGCACTTAATGCACAGAACGCCGGATACTCTGTGGTGACATATTTTGGCTACGGATATTGTGGACCAGATGGAAATGTATCAAAACCTCATACGCAAGAGGAGATATTGATTCCCATTGTGTTTGTTCGCTTATGGTTCAATTGCACCAGTTTCGAATATAATGATAACTATGATTTTCTTAAAGCTACAGACAAAACATTTGTAAATATCATAGAAACTCAACAAGGGTCTAATGAGCTCAGCAAGATGAAAGAATACCTAAAAAGACTTTACTACTGGTTTCTTTTGGGTCCAATTATCACGCTCGAATGGCTCAGACGAAAGAAGAAACTCTGTTGTTTGACGATATCACATCAAGTCGATGAAGAATCTGCAGCAGGAAACGAGGAAAATGTGCGGCTAGTCCCAAGAGTTGACGAGGATCAGGAACAGAACATACAAGATATCACCGGCGAGGAAATTGAAAGTGAGTTACAACCTCTAATCAATACAATGTACACAGACACTGATATAACAACATTTGACCACAGGGGCGGAATTATAGTTTGTGTGACAAGGCTATTTGGAAGAAGCATCCGTTACCTCGCAGTTGGTCTTGGTTACGTGCTTCTCACTCTGGTAGCACTCCCTGTAGGTATATCAAGTGGGGGATTATCTTTTTTCCGATTTGATGAACAAAAAATACGAATACGAACGAATACGAAATACGAAAGGTGCTTAGGTATTCTCTCTTTATGGTGGCCATCAATTCAAATCTTTTGTTTTTTCATGTACAGTAGGTTTAATTGTGCGAGCGCTTGGACCGTTTTGACAAACGTTTCAGAGTTGATTCGAAGTCACTGGTTTTCATCCAACATGTATTTGCTCGTTTTCTGCTTCGTTGTACCGTATTGTTCTCTCAGCCAAAGACTATTCTCTGACATGTTTACGTTTAACAAGTTTTTATATTTTACGGTTTACAATGTAACGTGCACAGTTTGCAATTTTCTTTTTATTATCATCCTCAACAAACACAAAGTTGTCACAAGGTATGTGTTCTACATCAGTGTGTGTATGATCTGTGCTTATGTTGAAAGTGACATAGTAGCTGTGTTTTACTTCATTCTCAATTCGCAAGGCTCCCTGAATAACGTAAAACTCACTGCTCTTCGCAGCGTAGCACTTGGCCTCACTTTGACTCTGAGTTTCAGTTCTTCAATGCACATAATCCGTAAAATTATGAAGCCACAGGAGTCTTTGTTTGAGGGACTGGGAGAGAGGTGAATTGTCACGTTTACCATCCTCCTTCAAGATCTGGTTTTAAAATAAATGTGCGTCACAACCGAGGTGCAACAATTACGGGATTTGATAGTAAGCTAGTCAAAAGTTTGGGTCTAATTTTCCAGAAAAATGAAATGTTTGGAAAAGCTTGTCATCAGGTAATACAGCCTTCTGGTAATACGACGGCTGATTTTGTAAATTTCTGTTTCTAATTTTAAGCTGTGTTCCATACTCAGTTTCGAAATAGTTTTGACAGTAAACAACAAATTAAATTACTCTAGAGTAGTACGAGATTCGTGGGTAAAATATAAGTTCATTTTTTAATTGCCGTTGTTCACGGCGTCGCCGTCGACGCTTCTTAAAATCTCTACTGTTTGAGAAGCTGTCTTCATGATGCAACTGAGGGATTTTTTAAATTAAGTACTAGGTGACAGCACCTTTCAGATTCTTTATGATTTTACTGAAATGTGAAAATGATAATTGAGAAAAATATCACATTTATAAACTTATTGATGAGTAGGTTTCCCTAGGGGAAGATACTCTATGTGAGACCAGTTGCAATGTGACATGTAACAACACAACATAAGTATTTCTCATATGTTAACTTTCGATGGAAATCTTAACAATGCACCGAAATATCACATTTTTTTAAAAGATTGACATCATCAAATGATTATATCACAACATGGAAAACCAATACGTACTGATCGAGTCCTTTAGTTAAAACGTTTCCTGAAATAGAAATAGAACGTTGTTCTTCATCAATACTCAAAAATTTTGACTTTGTAGGTTTTTCCTATTAAGTTGAAAACATTATAGGAATATTGTGTGTTGGAATCGCTAGAAATGGTGCTTAAGACAAGACTGTGTCTCATAATAATTTTATTTTTCTTTATTCGCATCGTGATATTTTAAATTGTGTGAGTGTTTTATATGATAGCAATGCTTACCAACTTAATAACTGGTATAGGTAATTTTGGTGGAATTTACGTTGGATACGTAAATTTGGTATTATATAGTTGCCATGTTTGGGTTTTTCGTCATTTTACTGAATTGTGAATACGAAAACTGTGAAAATTACACATTTTTAAAGCTATACAGAAGTAGCTTTCATAGAAAATGCTGCAAGACCAGTCGCAGTGTGACAAAAGTATTCTATACAACAACCTTTTTCTTTCTCAGTTTGACTTTGAATTGTTAGCTTTTGACTGTAAGTCCTAATAATTTAGCGATATGTCATTTATTTCAAGTAATGATTACATTTCAACTTCAATATTGTGTGTTGGAATCGTTAGAAATGGTGTTTTATATGATAGCAATGCTCACCATCTAAATAATTGGTATAGGTAATTTTGGTAGGATATTCATAGGATATGTAAACTTGGTATCATATGGTAGCCCTGTATGGATTTTTCATCATTTCACTCCATTTTGAATATGAAAACCGTGAAAATTACACATTACAAAGTTATGCAGAAGTAGTAAAATGCTGCCAAACCAGTCGAAATGTGACAGGAATATCCTTTATAGTAACCTTTTTTCCTCAGTTTGACTTAGAATTGTTAGCTTTTGACTATAAGTCCATATAATTCAGCGAAATGTCATTCATATTTATGACTGATGTTAAGTAATTGTTATATTACAATTAAGTGCTTACTGATTAGGCTCTTTCAGTCAAAAAATGTACCTTTGTTTATTTTGACGTAATTAAAAGGTGTGTGCTCCACTGTCTGTTCTGATACAATTTATTGCACTCCCACCCTTACTGAGTTTTGTTTATGTCTTCAGTCGACGTGAAACATAAAGTGCCAACCCATCTACCATTTCAAGTTTCCAGTCTTTGATATAATGGCACTTAATAAGTTTACACCAACTATTTCTGCTGATATAATTCTCCAAGAGTAGGCATAATTGTGGCTTTGAGGACATGTGACTAACAACCGAATAAAACTTTTTTATTAAAACTGACGTGCGAGTTAAAAAGGTTGAAAACATGTTTTGACTGAGAGAAGGTGGAAGAAGGAATTCGAAAGAGAGAATTCGGGAGAACTACTTCAAAATGCTATCTGATAACAAACATCTCTTGAACACCATGTTGATATTTTCCAGTTGAGCAGTCGTGTAGATAATAATAAAACATCGGATGATCTAAATTTCAAGAGCTGTTTTTATAATACCGCACCCAGAATCGTAGCCTTTAAATACTCAAGGGCCTTTGAAGACTCAAAAAATATTTAACAGTTTTAATTCAGCTTCAATACTTATATTCTACTTAGAGTCAGATAATGGAAATAAAGTGTCACGCATTCTGTTAGCACAGAAAAGCAAGGAGCGACTTTGTACACATGTCGAGAAATAGTTTTGTGACAATTAGCTGCTTCTGCTCTCCATGTTAACCACCTCCCAATATAGTTGGAAAACCAGCGATTTCTAGTTGTAATATAGGAGGTATGTTCCTAAAGAAACTGTAGTGCTGAGTCGGTGGAAAGGTATAACAGGGTAATTTAGCATTATCTAATTTAGTATTAAATGTTGCTGAGTGCTGTTGCGGAGATGACTCTGGGGAACAAAGTACTTATTCCATTCGTGTTCGTATTGCTTAGGAGCTAGTGTTTTCTTGGATGGTCAGATCGAAAAAAGCTTGCCTTTATCGATGATTCATATCTTGAGAAGGCAGACTTAACTTAGCTTTCCGAAAGATCCAATGAACTGAGCAAAATGGGTTTGTACTTCAAGAGCCCACACTTAACTATATCTCTGGCAAAACTCTCGTCATTTTGAACAATGATATATTTTCAATGCCGCGTACGGTTCTGGGAGGTTCGAAACCGATAAGATTCCACGCTCTGATTATGGATACAAGTATTTGAAAGGTACGATTGAATTTAACTTTCGAATCATGTATGAAGCATTTCTATCTGCTTTGTTCGGTCAAATGACCTAAATTGAGACAGTGTAGTTTATAAATATTTACGGTAAGAGGTCATTTATTTAAAAAACTTAAAAGATCGCAAGAATATATGATTGATAATATCTCAACGTTTCTTGCCAATACCTTTATGTCTAAGAGTAACATTTCGTCCTAAAGAATAGAGGATGTAAATATTTTGACTGGCCGCAGAGTACTGAATCTTAATTCTGAACGATTACTAGCGATCACTCGAGTAAAGATCTGTATAACTGACCTCACGCAGTCACGAACACTTTAGGTTGTCTGTCTGAGATTTATTTCGCTTTTCCGATGCATATTTTAAATGCTGACGTTCTCGGTTCGATTCTCTTCTCCTGATGCAAATCAAAATTAGCTAACTAACTAATTGGCTATTAATACGGGAGAACTGTCCGTATGCTTTCAATTTGCTACAAGAGCAGATTTTTTTCAAAACAAGGAAAAGACAAATTGACCAACTTCCCGAGGAAATGTACTCTATGTTGCTAGCAAAAAACTCCCTGGATGATGCTGTTGATCCTGCGAAGACAAAAAGAGCCATGAATATCAGCACAACATTAAAACATTGGTAAGGGACCGGTGATTATTACCGCTGGATGAGGAGGGGGTTAAATTTACCAGATCCCCCCATAAGGCTTTTTTGGTTTTCCTCAGTGGCTGTTAAATGGCAGTTTATTTTCTACAGTCCCCTTTATACTGTGTTGGCGACCACTGATCCCTTTTCCTTTCCCATTGCAAACATTGATAATAACCCCAGATAATACTCCCGATAATACCCCCGATAATACCCCCGATAATACCCCCGATAATACCCCCGATAATACCTCTTCCCCCAGTAAATTTAGAGGGGGGGTGAGTGGAGGTTATTGGTCCCTAAAGGAGTACACTTACTATTTTCAAAAACCTTAGGATGTCAGCCGGGATAACAAGCATTCTATTACAGTACTGTGACTGTTCCCTTATTAAATAGTAACTGCAGAGTAGGAAAAAAACTCCCGCTCATGGGAAGCTTACTTGAGGGAGTCTCATGTGTTGTCAGTTGTTTCTTTATTGGCACTATTAAAGGTTACAGACTAAAGTTACATTGTTATGTATCTGACACAGACAAACCAGGTGCACCCTTTGAAATCCATTCGACTTCCTTAACTAAAGAGCTGAATTCTAAAAAAATAAAACAGGAAATCAATTCCAATAGCTGTATTTTGTATCCTACAAAAGATTCATTCCTGATCTGCATATACCGTCCATGATATATTTGATAGGTTACAATCAGAATCCTCTCTTTCCCCTGTTTCTGCACAAGTTAGGAGAATACATGGTACTACGATAACTCGTTTTAATAACCTAAATGGTGTTTCTTTCACAAAGCATTCGTTAAAAAAAGGAAACACTATAGTTTATAAACCCCTACCAGTAACTTTAACGCCTCTTAGCTACAGAGACACACTTCTACTTCTTACCTAAAACCTCTAATTAAAATACACTAATTGGTTGTTTCCTTCCCCTGTACCATTCCTCTCCCTGGATTTAATGCTTGAAGTTTTTTAATGAATCCAACAGTTCAGACAACATCACCAAACTCGAAGCAGGAAAAAATAAGGCAAGGAAATCAAGACTAAACACATTAAAGAGAAATCGTCTCAATAAAAATCCCTGTCTCTTAGGTTGTTAACTCTCCAAACCTCAAGAGGAACTATCTTTGATTCCTCCTTACAGTGATACTGCTGAGTCATTAATTAAGATCATGAGAATAAAGGCAACGATCGTCAACCTAAGAAGTTTTGATTGTTAGATGAATTCTCCTTATCAATACCAAAGGGAATGTAAAGAGAAGAGTATGGAGAGTATAGATACTGATGTTAGGGTGTAAAGGGTTAATAGACTCTAATTAATGGTTGTTAAGTTGTAATCTTGCTTTTGATTTCGTGCACGTCATTTCCTCGGCACTATTATCCTCCACATACATAATTTTGTCGCAGGGTATGTGTTTTACATAGTTTTAGGCAGCACTTAATAAGCCTCACTCCGACTCTGAGTGTAGAATACAGCAGCTAACGTATTGTTTTTGTACAGAGTATTTGAAGCAATGATTACTGTGGAAGCGATATCCACAGTAGAACAGCACTTTTTTGGACAAAGAAAACTCGATAAAATAGGAGTTAAAAATTTGATACTAAATGAAAAAGCTATACTTGAGATGTTGATAAATGTTCAAGAACTTGTCTGTTGTGCCTTATTATTTTCGGTCAGCGGTACAATGATGGTCCTACGCTGTGCATTCCTCTGCAAGGGCAGGTTTTGACTAAGATCGCTTTTGCGTTGATAGCCAGCATGTCTGCAAAATTCTTGATTATTGGCGGCTCTTTTTTCCTCATCCTGCTGAACCTTGTCTCAGCTTATGTCTTGTTCTTTCTTCAACCTCAGCCTCCCGTTTCCTGCAATTCAAACATCCGTTCTGGCACAACAACTTTGTCGTTCGCAAGCGTTCCGAAAGTGTTTTGCGATCTCTCTCCGCCACGGGTTGCAAATAGAGATGATTATCGTCCTTCGCTGGAACCGTTTCTGCAAGAATCGAAAGCTGATGCGGACCAAGATCCTCGCTTGAGTGGCTTAGCAGTGGTTTCCAAACTGATCAATGTACGTCAACCTCTAGTTGATGTAAGCAAGTCAAGAATACATGTCGACAAAATCGCTCTCGTCACGCTTAAGGATCATACATCGTTTTCGTGTGGAGATCTAGCACTTAATGCACAGAACGCTGGATACTCTGTGGTGACATATTTTGGCGACGGATATTGTGGACCAGATGGAAATGTATCAAAACCTCATACGCAAGAGGAGATATTGATTCCCATTGTGTTTGTTGGCAACTGTATCAATTGCACCAGTTCACACAATTCCTCCTGGTTTAATCAATATGAATTTTTTAAAGCTACAGACAAAACATTTGTAAATATCATAGAAACTCAACAAGGGTCTGATGAGCTCAGCAAGATGACAAAATACCGAAAAAGACTTTACTACTGGTTTCTTTTGGGTCCAATTATCACGCTCGAATGGCTCAGACGAAAGAAGAAACTCTGTTGTGTGACGATATCACATCAAGTCGATGAAGAATCTGCAGCAGGAAACGAGGAAAATGTGCGGCTAGTCCAAAGAGTTGACGAGGATCAGGAACAGGACATACAAGACATCACCGGCGAGGAAATTGAAAGTGAGTCACAACCTCTAATCAATACAATGTACACAGACACTGATATAACAACATTTGACCACATGGGCAGAATTATAGTTTGTGTGACAAGGCTATTTGGAAGAAGCATCCGTTACCTCGCAGTTGGTCTTGGTTACGTGCTTCTCTCTCTGGTAGCACTCCCTGTAGGTATATCAGGTGGGGGATTATCTTTTTTCCGATTTGATAGTAGAGTACCTGTTAGTTTCTTAGGTATTCTCACTTTATGGTGGCCATCAATTCAAATCTTTTGTTTTTTCATGTACAGTAGGTTTAATTGTGCGAGCGCTTGGACCGTTTTGACAAACGTTTCAAAGTTGATTCGAAGTCACTGGTTTTCATCCAACATGTATTTGCTTGTTTTGTGCTTCGTTGTACCGTATTGTTCTCTCAGCCAAAGACTATTCTCTGACAGGTTTACGTTTAGCACGTTTTTATATTTAACGGTTTACAATGTAACGTGCACAGTTTGCAATTTTCTTTTTATTATCATCCTCAACAAACACAAAGTTGTCACAAGGTATGTGTTCTACATCAGTGTGTGTATGATCTGTGCTTATGTTGAGAGTGACATAGTAGCTGTGTTTTATTTCATCCTCAATTCTCAAGGCTCCCTGAACAACTTAAAACTCACTGCTCTTCGCACTGTAGCACTTGGCCTCACTTTGACTCTGAGTTTCAGTTCTTCAATGCACATAATCCACAAACTTATGAAGCCACAGGAGTCTGTATTCGAGGGACTGTCAGAGAAGTGAGTCACGGTTTTTTAATTAGATTACGTAAGCAGAATCTCTTGCTATCCTTCAGTACCAGTTTTCAAATAATCTACGTGACAAAGTTTAACGTGGGCTAGACCAAAAATTCCATTGTTCTTTCCAGAAAATAGAACTTTTCCGAAACTGAGTCGTGTTATTGAGCAGTGTTATGCCACTTTTGTACAGCCTCGTCAAGGAAAGAGCATTGAAATTCTTTGAATAGCTGTTAACAGCTGTAATTTAGAACAGTGCCGTTACCAACCAAATAATTGGTATAGGTAATTTTGGTGAAATATACAAAGGATTTGTAAACTTTGTAATACGTGGTAGCGCTATTTAGAATCTTCAACATTTCACTGAAATGTGTAAATGATAATTGAGAGAATAACTCATATATTAACTTATCCAGTAGTAGTATATTTCTTCTATGTTAGCTTTTGACGGAAATTTTAAACAATGTACCGAAATATCACATTTTTGTAAGGATTGATATCATCAAATGATTGATATCATCAAATGATTGATATCATCAAGTGATTGGTAATGTCGAAAACATTCTAGGAATGTTGTGTGTTGGAATCGATAGAAATGGTGCTCGGGACGAAACTGTGTCATAAATTTTTTTTTCTTTATTTGCATCATGATATTTTAAATTGTGTGAGTGTTTTATATGATAGCAATGCTTACCAACTAAATAATTGGTAGAAGTAATTTTGGTAAAATGTACGTTGGATATGTAAACTTGGTATTATATGGTATCCCTGGTTAGATTTTTCATCATTTCACTGTGGATAAGAAAACCGTAAACATTACACATTTGTAAAGTTATAGAGGTAGCTTTCATAGAAAATGCTGATAGACCAGTCGCAATATAACAGGAATATTCTATATCAAAACCTATTATTTTTTCTCAGTTTGACTTTGAATTGCTAGCTTTTGACTATAAATCTTCATAATTTAGCAACATGTCATTAATTTTTATGACTGATGTCAAGTACTGATTATATTACAATTGATTGCTTACTGATTAGCCTCTTTTGGTTAAAGAAAAATGTATCTTTGTTAATTTCGACATAATTAAAAGTGTGTGTTTTTTGTCATAGTACCCCATGAATCTGTTGATGGCTCCACTGTCTGTTCTGATACAATTTATTGCATGCATTCCCATCCTTACTGAGCTTTGTTTGTCTTCAGTTGACGTGAAACATAAAGTGCCAACCATTTAATATTTCAAGTTTCCAGTCTCTGATATAACGGCACTTAATTAGTTTACACAAACTATTTTCTGTTGATATAATACCCCAAGAGTAGGCATAATTGCAGCTTTGAGGACATGTGACTAACAACCTAATAAATCTTCTGACTAAAACTGATATGTGAGTTAAAAAGGTCGAAAAAATGTTTTGACTGAGAGAGGGTTGAAAAAGGAATTCGAAAAAGAGAATTCGGGAGAACAACCTCAAAATGCTATCTGATAACAAGCATCTCCTGAACATCACACTAATATCTCCCAGTTGAGCCGTCGTGTAGATCATAAAAAATATCGGAAAATTCAATTTTTCAATACCGAACCAAGAATCAAACCAGTTAAAAGATGCAAAAATTGTCCACATTCAGTTTTTAATTCATATCTCAACAAATATTTACAGGAAAAACACCTACAATATCTCATTTTAAAGTGTATAAAATAAGCCTCTCAGGAAAATAAATAAATTTCATTATTGAAACCCAGGACTTTCCTAAAAATAAAATTTAAAAGACAAAATAAGTAAGACATTGTGTAAAACTTGAGGTTAAAGTCACTTTTCCTCATAGGTAAAGGTTACTTAAGATCAATTGATAACAGAAGTAAATCATTAACATGTCAGCAACATTTCCTTAAAATCTGAAAGAAAAAGAATGAATAATTAATTTTTTTATGAATTTTTATGTGCACCCACGTCATTCAAAAAAGTTAACAGAAAAAAAAATTTGTTAGGAAATTCAACTTTATAACAGGAGGATGGGTAGGCCCTGATGTGTTACTCAGTGAATGAATTTGCCTTTTAACATCCCTACTAACTAATGAGAGTCCTCTCCGAGAAAACTAGGACTAAATCATAACTATTCCCACTGACAAAGATAAAAGCAACAAGGTAAAAAAAGATAATTATTTTTTTAGATATTTTTTCATTTTCAATTTTTTTTTGGTATTTCTGAGAAACACAACATCTGAAAACATTGGAATAAACATCAGCACAATGTTCTATGTATGGGAAATATGGTACACCAAAAATATACCACAGGTATATTTTATTTCTTTCAAATCATTTACTCACCAAAAGGAGCGGCAGAACTCACAGGGGGAATTGGACTGGCAGCAGCAGAAGGAGCAGAGGGGCCAGCAACTACACATTCAAACAAAAATATAATTTTCAGTGAATCAATTGTCCTCAACATTTATAGAATAATATCCTAAACAAATTCAGGTTATTCTATGGTATACGCATTCGAAAATTATACTTGCTGTTCTAAATTTTGCAGGTTGGAAATATTTCACTCACCAGGAGCCATGGGTTCCTTGGTGGAAGCGCTAGCCTCCTTAGGCCGCTCGTCATCTCCAACTTCTCCCTCGCAAAAAATATCAAATGTACAATATTTATATTCCATAAAATACTCAAAATTAACCAAACGAACAAGCGATACTGTACTAAATCGCCGACGAGTCAAGCAACCGACGCAACTGAAAAATGCATTTCTCCATGGCAACAAATAGCAGCTGATCGAATTACGCGTCTAATTTCGCTTGTGCAAATAGATTGAATCGCATTGCATCTCATCGCTAAAAACACACTCTTAGCGAAAATTATTGATTTTCAGAGTCGCAAAAATAAATTTGTAATCAAATTTCAAGAACTACGCGAGAAATCAACCACAAAAAGGCAACCTGAGGCGTAAAACTTCGCCTTTCAAGACAACATGTTCGATGGCGATCATTTCGTAATGGCCATTATTGACTTGTCACCTTGATCCCCACTCTCATTTTCCACCTGCCGGTCCAGATCACTTTCTCCTCCACTGTCCATCACATCCGCGGAGTCTTCATCGTCAAATATCTTCTCCAAAGCCATTTCAGCACGCTTAGACGATGAGGCCATCTTCGACGGTGAAATTTTACCACTCAAATAAGTGTTGTGTAGTACACATTTAACTGTCGCCCTCCAAACTCGCTACATGATTTGTTTAACATTCCAACGTCATACACACCAAATTTGGAAAGAATCGGAAGTAACGCAATATTCTACGAGACTAGCGGAAATGATGGGTGGAATTCCACCCATAAGCGCGGGGTTGCCGGGATAGGTAACCTTGTTTTTATCTATACATCAAAAAACAGCCTTTGAATACTCAAAAGATACTTTACAATAATAATTTCAGCTTCAATTCATAAATTCTACCTAATCAGAGTAATGATTGAAATAAAGTGTAACGCATTCTGTTCAGCACAGAAAAACAAGGAGCGGCTTCTTCATTTCGGGAAAAAGCTTTGTGACAATTAGCTGCTTCTGCTTCTCCACGTTAACCACCCTTTCAATATAGTTCGTTTGGAAAACCAGCGGTTTCTAGTCGTAATAAAGGAAGTAAGTTTCTAAAGAAACCGTGGTGCTGCGTCGGTGGAAGGGTATGACAGGGTAATTTATGTTTATCTAATTTAGAGTTGTCGCCCTTCGTCAGAGCGATTGAGCTCGAAACTTCAGCTCTTAAACTCTTTACGGTGGCCAGTTTTCGTTATCAACTCAGTTTGGTTACCTCGGAGGGGAGAATGCCCGACTTTATTGCGACAAGCAGGAGGTCTTCATTTCTATTGGATATCAGGCACTCAAGAGAGTGGTGATTATTACCGCCGAAGGGGGGTGGGTGGGGGGGGGTAAATTTACCAGATCCCCACATAAGGTTTTGCAATATTCCTCACTGGCTTTTAAATTGCAGTTCATTTTTCCCTTTGCAAACCTTGTGATCCCCCCCCCCTCCCTATAAAAATTCTCCTTCCCTAGGCGATAGGCGAGCTGACAGGTCCCTAAAATAGTACACTTGCTATTCTCAAAAACCTGAGATGGCAGCCGGGACAACAAGCGTTTTATTACAGTACTGTGACTGTTCCCTTATTAAATGGTAACTGCAGTATAGGAAGAACGAAAATACCGGCCATGTGAAGCATACTGTGGGAGTCCTTATGTGTTATCAGTTGATTCTTTATTGGCACCGCTTAAGGTCTAAGACTAAAGTTACAATGTTATGTATCCGACACAGACAAACCAGGTGCACCTCTTGAGATCCATTCGACCTCCTCAACTATAGAGCTATGTTCTGAAAAAATAAAACAGGAAATCAATTCTAATAGTTGTATTATGTGAACAAAAGATTCGTTCCTGATCTTCTTTTACCGTCCATAATACAACCGATAGGTAACAATCAGAATCCTCTCTTTCCTCTGTTTCTGCACAAGTTATGAGAATACATAGTGCTACAATAACTTGTTTTGATAACCTAAATCATCTTCCTTTTACCAATCAGTCTTTAATAAAAGGAAACACTCTAGTCTAATAACTTTAACACCCCTTAGTTACAAAGACACACTTTTAGTCTCACATTCAGATAATTTGGACTCGATATTCCAACTCAACCTCAAACAGTGAAGGGGAAGTGATATTTTGATATTGGGAGTGAAAGGGTTAATGCAATCAAAGTGTTCACATAATATAACTTCACCATTTTCCTCCTTAATTGGTATGTAAATCTCAGAACTGGCTATAATTGATGAAACTTATTTACATTGACTTAAAACTATAAAAAGGACTACACTGTATTTTTATTTGGGTTTTACTTTTAAACTAAGGTGCTCTGCATAGCTAAGAGTAAACTTAACCCTTTAACTCCCAAGATCTGATTGTTAATTCTCCCCTCTAGCTGCTACAAATTTCCTTGTAAATTGGTCAACAGAATTTGATGTCTGATCAAGATAACGACTTTAACCAGATACGTTTATGTATTCTCATTACCTGTTTGCTGGATAATGTATTGAAATTATGGGGAGAAGTTGCATGTGAAGCTCTTCTGAGAGTTAAAGGGTTAATGTAAAAATATCACAATGTGAGGGAATTTAATTCATAAGTATTTTAAAAGGAATATATGATATCATTCTCAAGGATTTAAGAACAACAAATTATATTAGGGAATTAGTAGGGCAAAACTGAAATTATTGATTTTTGAAGTTTTTTTTATGTCTTAGAAATGCTAGTGTAAAATACTCCTTTTTCCCTTGTGTTCTGTTCCTGTTTCCTAATGATGCACCTGCCATCCTTAAACCTTTTACATTGGTATTCATATTATCCAAACTTTTCTCTTTATATTTCCTATGGTAATGACAAGGAGAATTTGTGTGGCAATCAGAAGCTTCCTAAGTCGTTTCCTTCATTTCATCTTCTTTATTTGTTGAAGTTGATACTGTAAGGAGAAATTAGATGCTAGTCACTCTTAGGTGTCAAAGGATTAAACATGAGTATTGGCAATTACATAAACTGTAGTCAATAGAATTAACAAACTAGTGTACAGACAACAGACAAAACCTGCCACAACACAAAGTTAACACATGTACAGTTAAATACATCTTTCGCATAAAATTTGTTTCACCCCTAAAATGCCTTCTTACCTAAAACCTCTAGTTAAAATACACTAATTGGTTGTTTCCTTCCCCTGTACCATTCCTCTCCCTGGATTTAATGCTTGAAGTTTTTGAATGAATCCAACAGTTCAGACAACATCACCAAACTCCAAGCAGGAAAAAATAAGGCAAGGAAATCAAGATTAAGGACATTAAAGAGGAATGGTCTCAATAAAAACCGTGTCTCTCAGGTTGTTAACTCTCCAAGCCTCAAGAGGGACCATCTGTTGATTTGTTAGGGTGTAAAGGGTCAATAGACTCTAATTAATGGTTGCTAATTTATCATCTTGCTTATGATTTCGAGTACGCCATTTCCTCGGTACTGTTATCCTCAACAAGCATAATTTTGTCGCAGAGTATGTGTTTTACGTTGTTTTAAGGCAGCACTCTATAAGCCTCATTCTAACTCTGAGTTTAGATTACAGCAGTTGAACGAAATTGTGTGCGTGCCCCTTTATATTACGAGAAATCTTGGCAGTTCCGGAATTTTTTGTTGCTCAATGACATCTGTGTCACAGAATTATTCGCCCTTGCTAAGCGATTATTTCCCGAGTTAGCACCCAACACTTGTGTCCAAATACAGACGGCGAATAAATAGTGGGTTACAAATTAAACATTGGGTTAAACATTAATCGCATCTTTTTTTTCAACTTGATCATTTCAAATCTGTTGACTTGACCTACTCAAATCACTAAAGCGGTTGATAAGTATCGGCCGCATTCGGAAATACTGAGGGTCTCGAAAAATTCCCTTTCTGTCGATCCCTAAAGAAAAGACTCAAAATTTCAATTTCTATACATATTTGTAACCAGTTCAATCAATAATAAAAACACAGGATAAACGTTTACACTGATTTACCAAGATTTCTGTAATGATCACCCCGAATATCAGTTTCGCACTTATTATGGTTTCGTAACGTCTTTCGTTTGCATTTAACATCAAGCCAGTCAAGTTATCATCTTCTGACCCGTGAAGTGTGAGGTAAAAGGTTACCACAATAGCCTAAAACAGTTTCCAATCTTCATCTTTCTCAGAGGTAGAATATCGACACGAACCATATTTACTTGCTCTGGTTTCTGTGATTGTTTCTACAGTTGGGGTTTTAGTACAACTGACACATTAACTAGAGCACAAGAACGGATTGCTAGTTTATTGCTGTTACATGTTGGCTTTAATTTATATCAGTCTGCAGTGATTCTTAGTTCTCCGATTTAGTGCAAGTCATAAGTGTCTGGTTATATAATTCTAGATGAAAGAAGTAATGATCAGGCCATGGTTACCATTTCAGTGGCTTCATTTCCAATTTGCTGCCTAGCACGAGTCAACACTAGTTTCAGAGACTTCCTGTAGTATGGCAGTCTCCAAGCGTAAACGAATGCGTCAGAAGCTACCTTAATAAATAACATTTCGTCTGCAATTGTAATGGCAGCGGAGAGATGAAGCGTGTCTTGTGGTGTCTCCAGTTCTGTGTAAAACCAGAAATTAAGTGTAATGATATGAGCAAGTGTGCAAGCTATTAGTATTGCTGATAGAAGCAAAGTTGCCACCGTAAGTTGTCTCAAGCCTTCATCGTCTTCATTTTGGCGAGATTCTTTGGCAAATCGGCGAAGTGACCTCAGAAGTATAGCAGAACCAACGAAAAGCAGGATTGTTATGACTGTGGCATGGAAATGGAGATTTATCTGAAGGAGGCTTCTTCGGGAGACTCCGATGAATTGCAGAAGAGTGAAACCTGTGAAGTACAGCGTCGAGATACCAACAAATACAAGGATCCTGCGCGTTGTAATGGCCGAGCGGTAACGTTGTGGGTGAGTTATGGCAAGGAACTGTGTCCAAATGAGAGCGAGAACGAGCAAGAATGACAAGTTGAGGCCTACGGTGGAAATAGAACTTCCAGTTCTTAGCAGGCTTTCGTATGATCGGCCTGGATACAGTGACCATTTCAAATAACTTGCCAGGCGGTAAGCAACGAAGAGAGGCTCGATAACAAGACCGGTTGTGAAATCAACACAGCCTAAAGCGATGATGAGATACGAAGCTGGTGTACGGAAACATTTGAGAGGATCTTTGTAAATAGTCAGTAATAACAGGAGGTTACTAATGACTGTTATCGGCGACAGAATCACCAGGGAGATCCCTGTGGCGAGCTGGGTGAACAGATAAAACCTTACATCGATCGAAGGAGAATTTGATGTTGTGCTGATATTCATGGCTCTTGATGTCTTCACAGGATCAACACTGAGCGTCGTCCAAGGAAATCTTTTAAGCTGACGCCTGCATAAGCTGCATTTCTTTGGTATGTTGGTCGATCTGTCGAGTTTTAAAACAATTGTGCTCTTTTTAACTCGCAAATTGTAAGCTTACGTAAAGAACTTCTGTACCTGTAATGTGAGCTATTTTTGAATTGCATCGGGAAAAGCAGATGGACCGGAAGACGGCAGAAC